ATAATCCATCAGCTATATATGTTGACACAAGTCAAACAATGTATATATTGGATACTTATAATTATCGCGTGATGAAATGGCAAGTTGGAGATTCTATTGGTACAACAATAGTTAATGGTCGAGGTGCTGGTTCAACATTTGATAAAATAGGAAGAAGTCATGGATTTTTTGTCGATAGTAATTATAATATTTATATATCCGAATATGGAAATAATCGTGTTACATTATGGTTTAATGGAAATAATACTGTTGGATTACTAGTAATTTAATATATTTATTTTTTATTTTATAGCTTTTTCATATTTAATTAAAGGTTGCCGGTGGAAATGGTGCTGGAAGTACATCTGAGAAATTAAATTCTCCATGGGGAATATATGTTGATAATGCAAGTGGAATATATATTGTTGATCAAGGCAATCATCGTGTGCAGTATTGGCCTTCGGGTATTTTAATTAGAATAGATTTTTTTCATCAAAATCATAAGCGAAAAATTGTTTATCTTTAAAGGTGCAAGTCTTGCAAGCACTGTAGCTGGAACAACTAGTAATGCTGGCCCATGGTCATATCAATTTAGTTCTCCAACATCAATTATGCTCGATCCTTATGGTTATATTTATGTTTTGGATACTGGAAATGCAAGAGTTCAAAAATGGTATCCAGGAAATCCTTATGGAATAACACTATTAGCAGGAACAATGAATAGTCCAACGGGAATGTCGCTTGATTTTTCGGGAAATTTGTTTATCGCTGATACTTCTAATCATAGAATTTTATCTTTTGGTTTACAATGCCGTAAGTTTGGTTTTTATTCTTAAATATTTTGAAATTCTTATTAATGGAAAAAACAAAATATGATAATCATATGTTATCTTTTTTTTAGCATTAACAACAACAACAACCACGCAACCACCAAGTAATTTTTATATTTTTATATGATATAGGAAAAACAAATTTAATTAATAAATTGTTTAGCCTCATCTCAAAATCAAATTTGTGCAACCGCTGCTTGGAATCAAACATCTTCAGTAGTAGCTGGTATAGCATCAAGTGCTGGATCATCATCCACGCTATTATATAATCCATCTGATATTCATTTTGATGCATATGGAAATATGTATGTTGCTGATAGAACGAATCATAGAATTCAATTATTTCAATCAGGTTTATATATTTAATTTTGGTGTTTTCTTCGATTAAAAGAAATCTTTTGTTTTAGGACAAACTGTAGGTACAACTGTAGCTGGAACTTCAGGTTCTGCTGGTAGTACTTATGCACAATTATATAATCCATATGGAATATTTGTTACAGCTAATGGAACAATGTTTATAATGGATACAACAAATTATAGAGTTTTAAGATGGCAATTAGGAGACCCACTTGGGTATATTGTTGCTGGTGGAAATGGCAATGGTGCAGCATTTACTCAAATTGGTGTAAGCTATGGTCTATTTGTTGATGGTCAGCATAATATTTATATATCAGAACAAACAAATCATCGTGTTACTAAATGGTTTAACGGAAATACAACTGCTGGATCTTTGGTAATTTTAAGATTTCTTTCTATTTTATATCTATTAAACTTGTAGGTTGCTGGTGGAAGTGGTCAAGGAAGTGCGAATGAAAAACTAAATTCACCATGGGGTATTTATGTTGGTTCAAATCAAGCAGTTTATGTTGCTGATTACGGAAATCATCGTGTAGTGCGTTGGGATGCAGGTATACAAAAAAAAAGATCGAAATTTAAGATAAAATCTATAAAATAATTTTGCAACAGGATCAAGTACCGGTGTAACTGTAGCTGGCTCAACAGCTAATTCAGGTCCATGGGCGTATCAATTGAATTATCCAACATCAATTATATTGGATCCATATGGTTATGTATATGTATTGGATTCTGGAAATTCAAGAGTTCAAAAATGGTTTCCTGGAGATAGTTATGGTAGAACTGTTATATCAGCTACAATGAGCAGTCCATCAGCAATGAAAATTGATCTTTTTGCCAATCTTGTGATTGCTGATACATCTTATCATAGAATATTATCATTTAGTTTATTATGTCGTAAGTTTTTTTTATTAATTTAAAAAATTCTTATAAATAAAAATCTTTTCGAAAATACATAGCTGGAACAACAACAGCAACAACTCCACCTCCAAGTAATTGAAATAAAAAAAGCATAATATTTAAATCTAAATGTAAAATTATGTCTAAATAGCTGTAACAACAATTCCTGTATGTCCAACAGCAACATGGAATTCAACATTTACAACAGCAGCCGGTTCCACCGGCACGGCTGGATCAACATCGACATTACTTNAAATAAAAATCTTTTCGAAAATACATAGCTGGAACAACAACAGCAACAACTCCACCTCCAAGTAATTGAAATAAAAAAAGCATAATATTTAAATCTAAATGTAAAATTATGTCTAAATAGCTGTAACAACAATTCCTGTATGTTCAACAGCAACGTGGAATTCAACATTTACAACAGCAGCCGGTTCCACCGGCACGGCTGGATCAACATCGACATTACTTTATTATCCATATGATGTTGATTTTGATGCTTATAATTATATGTATGTTGTTGATTATTATAATCATAGAATTCAAAGGTATCCTCCAGGTCTGTATCATATTTCAGTATTCTCAATAAACGAAAAGGAAAAAACTGACATATTTTAATTGATATTAGGATCAAATACCGGTACAACAGTAGCTGGTTCAACAAATTCAGCTGGTAGCGCACTTTCACAATTATATTATCCAACTGCAATAGATGTAACTGCTAATGGAACAATGTTTATAATGGATACAACGAATTACAGAGTTATAAGATGGCAATTAGGAGACCCACTTGGGTATATTGTTGCTGGTGGAAATAGTAATGGTGCAGCATTTACTCAAATTGGTGTAAGCTATGGTATATTTGTTGATGGTCAGTATAATATTTATGTATCGGAATATGGGAATCATCGTGTTACTAAATGGTTTAACGGAAATACAACTGCTGGAAATTTGGTAAATTAAAGATTTCGTTCTATTTTGAATATTTTTAAATTATAGGTTGCTGGTGGAAATGGTTTTGGTACTACACCAGATAAATTATATTATCCGTGGGGAATTTATGTTGATAGCAATAGTAGTCTATATATTGCTGATAGAAGTAACAATCGTATCCAACGATGGGATTCAGGTATTTATGATTTAATCCTATAATGATGAATCTAATTGTAAACCCATAAAATGAATAGGTGCTGCTAATGGTATAACTGTTGCTGGTGATACGAATGGAAATGCTGGTTCATTCTCATATCAATTGAATAGTCCAACAGGAGTTATGGTTGACCAATATGGTTCTGTTTATATATTAGATTCAGCAAATGCACGCATTCAAAAATGGACTGAAGGTGCAACATTTGGAGTAACTGTTTTATTAGCAACATTCAGTAATCCATTGGGAATGGGAATTAATGCATTTGGAAATTTATTTATAGCTGATACAAATAATCATCGTATTCAATCATTCGCTGTATACTGTCGTAAGTTTGTTTTAATAAAAATCAATGAAACTTAATAATAAATATATTTCAGCTGTAACAACAACAACTGTTTCGCCGTCAGGTTAGTTTTTATTTCTATTTTTGTTGGTGTTTTAAGCGCATTGAATTGTTTAGCACAAACATCAGTACCATTATGCTCAACAGCCATGTGGAATTCTTCAGCAAATGTAATAGTTGGCCCAACAGGAACTGCAGGAAATACACCAACATTTCTATCAAGTCCATACGATATAAACTTTGATAAATATCAACAGATATATGTTGCTGATTATGGTAATCATAGAATTCAACAATACACATTTGGTATTTCTTTCAAATGAATATAATTGAACATAAACCTAAGATATTTATTTATTTCAAGGATCTAATGTAGGACGAACAGTCGCTGGTATAACTTCAAATCCTGGAAGCACATTAGGTCAACTCAATAATCCATCTGCCATCTATGTTGATTCAAATGATAATATGTATATATTAGATACATCAAATTATCGTGTTCTTCAATGGCAATTAGGAAATCAACTTGGTTCTATAGCTGTTAATGGTCGTGGCTCAGGTACAACATTAGATAAGATAGGACTTAGTTATGCTATGTTTGTTCTTAATGAAACATATATTTATGTATCGGAATA